ATCTTTTCTCTGTATTCAAAACTCGCATCATCACGTAGCCGGCGATCGTAGCGACCGCGATTCCGAGTCCTGCCTTCCACCAGACCAGAGAATCCCCTTGCATTAGGCCAAATTGATTTATATGTCTGAAAGATGCAAAATTCGTTATCGCTTAGCTGCACAAGAAATTCCATATATTCTAGCATGATAAAACCACAATGTCTCTTAAAATGACTTGATTATTAATGGCATGTAGCGAATAACACATAGACAAATATCAATGAAATTCGGACAATGAAGTTTTATCATACAAGTAATATCAAGTCAGGAAGGAAAATCTTTTTTGTTAAGATCTCTATACATAGAAAAGCATTTTGTAAATCCGGACAAAGAGATCCGATTTTATGTGTCGCATGCTCATGCTTGAACGAAACTAAAAAATGATGTGTACACTAATAGGCTATGACTTGTGACACTGAATGTCGTAAATAGGCAGGAAACATAAGCCAGTAATATGAAATAAAAAAAACCTTGTAAAAGAACTCCACCATGGAGAAGGTAAGGAATCGATAAGCAACATGTGGATTGTACGCCTCATATGGCTGAAAAGAGCCAATATGTTTGTAAACATTATTTTATCCGTGCGATGACATTTTCTAATACGAACAAATTATCCAACACATTTAACATATATGACAAAAGGATTACTTCCATAAAGCCTCCCATGAACACATGCATCAAGAAAGGAATGTATAATGATGATGATGATTGAATGCAGTCTTTACGATTTGCTCAAGCTTCTAGATTTTTACAGTGTGAAATTGAAATTCGGACCAACCTGTCTCGGTAAAATAATACCCACGCTCCTTGAAAGCGGCTAAACACGAAATATCTTTTCGTTAATACCGAATTATCTCCTTTTTCTTTCTTTTTCTTTTTTTTCTTATATATTATTATCTTTCCTCAAATTAAAATACAAGAAAAGAACGAGGAGAAGGTGCGAAGATGAGAAATGCAAATCTAAAAGTAACTTCGCGATGTAAATTATCATATGAGAGAAGAAAAAAGCAAAAAGCTCTAAGAGTCTTGACGCGTAATCTATACTTTCAAATATATAGAAATGTTTGTCAGCTACAAACGAAAATAATCTACTATCTGTAAACCGAGAAAATCCGAGATTCGTCCGGCAATTTTTCGTTATTACCACTCTGAGACTGTGATGGTTGAACTTACGGGAAGGCTGCCATCGTAGCCAGTTTGACGAAAATTTCACGTCGGATAGTTCGCGAGATGCTGTACGGCTGCGGTGGCATTAGTTTGTACTTGCTGCAGAAAGCGGCCGGTTGCAACAGATAGCTTTGCTTCACTTCGGAAAGGTCACTTTTATTTGCCACTATCAGAACGGGAATTTTACTATCGGCAAAGTATTTCTGTAACAAGACACGTTATATAACGCATAAATATTAGAGCGAGAAGATTGTAAAGGTTGCAAGAAGGTTGCTTACGATGTAAATGCGTGCTATATACTCGAATGATTTTGGATTACTGGCGTCATAGACGAGAGCGGCCGCATCACATTGGATTTCCGCCGGTGTTAAAGCGTCCTGGACATTCAGCACGTTTATATCCTTCAACACCATCGTCTTCTCCTGTCCGTATACGTGCAACGTATTTACGGTCACGTGTGCGTTCGACGGTACTACCTCATCATTCAATTTCTAAAATTACGTCCGAAGAGATGAATAATTCTATTGAGAATCCAATAATTGTAATAAACAATTTACCTCGAGTTTAGGATCGATAAGAGTCCGACACAACGTGGTCTTTCCGCTACTCTTTGGGCCTATGACGTGACAGGTATAAACATTCCTGCTAGACTGCTTTTTCGCCAGATCTACCTTCTTTTCGCGAGTCACGATGATAGCGCTCGTTTGACACTCGTTGTGGTACATATTATATCCCAGATATGCCATGTATTCCATAGTTTTACGCACATTCGTCAGTGTTAGCAGTGCCCATTGGCACATATACCCTTGAAATGTGAGCCATCCCTAAAAATATCGCATACTTACACATCATAGCAAAGTTACTTACTTTGAAATATATATTGCCATTTGATATTTTCCCATTTTTTCAAATATCGCTTTCTTTTAATTTAGTTTACATACATTTGGCATTCTAAAAATAATGAGTATGAACGTTCAACCTTTTCATTCGTGGGTACAGTATATCTGTACTCATCGCCCCAAGGTGGAACAAGGCATCGTGAGAACAACGACTCCATTTCTAAGGGCGAGAGAGCACCGTCGCGGTCGCGGTCGTGCTGCATAAACAATAAAGTCAGAAACTCCTGTCCCTTGTGCGACAATTCTGTGCTACAGCCGAGCGGGATCTTCAATCTGAAAACCGGAATTACTCAGTGACATATTGGAAGAATGTGTGTAGCTCCGTGACCTTTATACATACGAAGGATGAATATATTCCTTTGACATTTGCAACTCGTTATCATATCCAAATTTTCTTAATACGGCCCAGGTTGTTTCGTTTCTTCCGCGTTGTATGAATAAACATTGTAAATACATAAAACCTACATAAATAGTAATAATTAATAACTCACATATATATTCGTTTAATACTTAAGATAATTGAAATACTCACCTTTCATTGTGACACATCCATTACATATACCGTCGCAAATATTTTTTGACAGTACAGCTTTCACATCTTCCAGCACTTGCGGTTGTAACGGCGTGTTGAAGCACCACTGCTGAAATGCATTCAGCTCCATATCATTTAAAAGACCGTCATTATCTACATCACATATCTGCATAAGAAAAAAACAATATAGTTTATATTACAAATTATTTTTTTCATGTGTATATCATATATTTATATGAAGTATATACTTTAAAAATTCGCTGTAGGGCAGTTTTGCATTCCTCTGTAAGCTGAAATCAGAATGATTTAATAAGAAAAGAAGCTCAGAGAATAAATTAAAGAAGAAATAAAATTTAAAGCAAAATTTCTCACCTCTTGTGTGTCATAATTATATAAAGGGGTAGTTGGATGCAGAACTGCTTTTTGTGCATAATAAAACGTCTCTGAGACATTTTGAAGTGTTTTCGCTGAACACTGGAAAGAAATATATTATATTTCTTTAGATAAGTCTTCTTTCCATTATTCATATTGATTGAGCAAACTGTATCTTACCTCTATGCAACTTTCAATCTCTGTGAATTCTTTCATGATGGGATATACAGCCTGAAAGAATTCATTTCAGAATGCAAAATGTAGATTAACAGAAATATGAGGAATAAGATTGTTTAACTTGAAGTCTTCTTAAAAGTCTACAAACCTCTATAGTAGAATAATCCACGAGATCAATCTTATTGCCTACAAGTACAACTGGACATCGATTGTTGGGTGAGCATCTTCTAATTAAGGGTAGCCAGTAACTAGCAGCTCTGTCCAGAGTATCCTCATCATCCACTGAGTAAACCACACATATCACATGTGCCTTCTGGATCTCCTCTGCCAATTGATCATCTGTTTGTTCCACAGCTGTAAAGAACAAATTATTATTTCCTTTTACATAAGATAATCTTGGAAAATGCAAATAAATTCTCTGATGAATCGTTCAATTATATTCGGGTATCTTAATTATCAAGTAGTATTATTTCATTTAAATTATAGAAACCTAACGGAAGTCTAAAGGAAGAAGTATACCAAAAATACCTGAATAATCGACTATATGCGTCGGCACCTGCTCTGGAGTCACGTCTGCCGGTATCGTGATCTCCTCGGCCTTACTCGGCACCTCCTCCGCATACTCTTCGCTCACCAGAGACAATATCAGGGAGGTTTTACCGACGCCACGCTCACCGATCAACAGTATCCTGACGTTGCGCCGAGGCGCGACCGGACGCTGCACCATGCTGCCTCGGCGCCGCTGACTGTCGTCTCAAACGACGGCGTCCGCCGCTCAGTTCTTCGCGAACGGCATCTTCGACTCCGGCACTTCCCGAGGAGGTGCCTCGGTGAGGACTGGACTATAACCTATAAATGCACGCAGCCTCGGCGACCGTGATCAGTATCACGGTGACATTTCAACGGCGACGAAACAACGATCACGACGACGCCGATGTTGTTGCAAGACGATGTTTTTCTCTTTTTTTTTTTTTTTTCTTCACTCTCTCTGATATTTCGTGCCGTGAAAGAATCACCCTGCATACCCCACCTCAACGCTTCATCGAGATGCCGACTGCGCGACCGTCGCGGTTAGAGACCAAGCGCAGCAAATCTCGACGGTTTCGGCGGACTTAAAGTAGTAGCGCTTCGAGGGTGGCCTTTTCAAGGTTACCTATGCCACCGCAATGAATGATGTCGCGTGCATGTGTATATACGTATGTATATGCACGCGCATGTATATACACGCCATAGGGCAATATGCGTTAGTATGCGCTAGTACGTGCGGAGGTCCGTTCGTTTGTATTTTGTATCTCGTTTCTATTTAACGTCCGGGATACGCGGCGGATAAGGAAGGTTCCCACACTTTTCATCATATCAATTTTAATCTCAATTTTAATCCACTTTTTATCTTTTTTTTTAAAATCGGAAAAAGATAAAAAGTAAAATTAAACCGAGATTAAAATAAATCTATAAAAATGAACTGCGGTCCGCAGAATTTGTGCTCATTTCTATCGGTATCTGTTAATTTTAATTTCGGTTTAATTTATCTTTTGTCTTTTTTAGTTTTTAGAAAAAAATAAAGAATAAATTAATCTGAGATTAAAGTTAATCTACACAAAAATTGATAATAATCTACGAAATTTGTGTTTACTTCTATCAATATTTAATAATTTTAATCACGATTTAATTTCTTTTTTAATTTTAAAAATAAAACTAAAAAAGATTAAAAATAATAATTGAATTAACAGGTTCACTTAATTATTTTCTTAATTTAAATCATCCAACGCAACGATTGAATCTCAAAAAGTCCTCAGAGATAAAAATTCATCTCGCGTAAATTTTCAACAAATAAAATTAAAATTCCACGGGAAATTTATTTTGTTTTCCAACTTTGATCTACGCACGTAAAAGTTCTCCGTTCGACATTATCGATCGTCGTCGCAAGTCTCATCTGGAATTTTAAGTCAAAACAAATCAAACGTGAGTGAGTTCGACCCGGCTTCTTGTGACGAACGACTGGCAAATGCAGTTCGTGACGCGAATCGCCCTCGTGAATGTGTTAATGTTGCTTTGCCTAAGAAATCTCGTTCGTGCCCAGGTTTATCAGAACATGTCGAGTTTCGCCGGAGTGCATTCCGTGGCGTACGTCACGGTGCCGAACGACGAGGTGGCGAAGAGATTAGCACGGTAAGGAGTAACGTTTAATAAACATCCGTTAACGCAATTATCGTTAGGTCTTAATGAGAAACGCATTTAACATATCTCTCTCTCTCTCTTTCATGAAGCGGCCTGGTCGAGAACAAACTCGCTGCTTGTGTCAACATTATTCCACAACTCACCTCCATGTAAGTTTCGCGTTTGTATACAAATTGAAAAATGATTCCCAGATGATTAAATGTCCCTTAGAGGATGCTTTTAAATACTTTTGGTTGAGAAATAAATGTTGTCTTCGATAGATACGAATGGGAAGGAAAGATACAAGAGGAGCCTGAACTTTTATTGGTATGAAAAAAACCTATTGACCTTTATATTAAATGATTAAAAAATGAAATTTCTATCGACTGTGTGAAAATTGCAGATGATAAAAACTAGAACAGAAAAAGTAGATGCTCTAACAAAATATGTAAAGTGAGTTAAACATGGCTATATAAATTGCTTTAGTTTTATTTTCATTTTTTTTTAACTTAATCTTTTTACAGGGGGAATCATCCATATTCAGTTTGCGAAGTGATTTCCTTGCCGGTAATGCATATATCATTTTATGAGCATATATGTTTTTAACACAGAAAAATACAATACACTTACATAGTATTGGAGAAGAAAGAGGTTTATTTTGTGATTAAAAACACATAAAAACATTTAAAAATTTTTATATTTTAGATACAAAATGGAAACAATGATTATTTGAAGTGGATCAGTGAAGTAGTGCCCCCACTTGATAAAAACACACAAGATAATTAAGACAAATCGATAGTAATTCATTGATGAATTCATTAATTCATCATATTTTCTCTTGAAATTACTTTATATAAAAAAGAAGAATAAAGAAGATAATGATTATGATAACTTATATGATAATTTAAGTAATCTGTAGAATGTAAGAATATTACAAAGTGAAAATTTCTCACATTAGAATCCTAAGTAATGTTGATCGATCAGTCTTACAAGTATTACATACATATTATCTATAATTGTCAATAATATTACCAAATTATTGTATAAAATATATAAAAGTTTAATATTCATTACTTAATTCATCTAATATTTTATAGAAAGATAATGCCGTCCTGAAATTAAAATCTTGTAATACTGACATAAGTACCTGTTTATTTTTGTAAAATGTTGATTAATTTCTGATTAATGCTGACATTGCAAATGATTTGCGTTGTGTGATAATCAAACACAACAATTAACGCTCTGATTTCACACAAACAAGAACAATTAATAATTTATGATTTTTTGCACAGCAAAAATTTTAGTTACACGACTGTGACGTCACATTATG